TCTAGGTAGTCCCCAATTGGGGTCTACGTAGTCCCATGTCTAGGTAGTCCCCAATTGGGGTCTACGTAGTCCCATGTCTAGGTAGTCCCCAATTGGGGTCTACGTAGTCCCATGTCTAGGTAGACCCCAATTGGGGTCTACGTAGTCCCATGTCTAGGTAGACCCCAATTGGGGACTGCGTAGTCATGGTGTCTAGGTAGTCCCCAATGGGGGTATACGTAGTCATGGTGTCTATGTGGACCCCAAAAATGTTGGATTGTGATTGGTTACAATGCAAGGCTGCTAGGCCTACTTACTGATCATCTCGGGTAGTATGTCATGTCTATCTAGTGTTACTATCAATAATCCTGATTGTGTATCACGCGCGAGGTGGGATGAATGCGGTGGTATGAACGTGGTACAGCGGCAGTGGTACGCACAGGCAGTGTGTAGGCCCAGTGTGCTGTATCGTGACTGGCCGTCTAAATTAAGTTTTCATTTCCCTTTCGACCATAAAACAAAAACAAACAAGCTAACAAAAACTACCATGGCGGGTAAAAATAATAGTGCACACTTTTGCGGGACCGCTATAGGCCTACTTAAAAACAAAGGGAAATAGCACATGAAAATTTCTGGATTATTTCTAATTTGCACTCAAGCACGCTTCAGCATTAAGCACGCTTAAGCTTTCTCCCGATGACCGTGCTTAAAGCCGGCATGGACTGTAACACTAGATCGACACACCGCCAGAGATGAGCAGTAACCTTGCATTGTAACCAATGTAAACTACCGCTCGCTCAGCGAGCCAACCACAATCCAACATTTTTGGGGTCCACCTAGACACAACGACTAGGTAGACCCCAATTAGGGACTACCTAGACACTCCCTTAGAATAAATATAGATAAATAGTGTGAAGAATGAATCAATAGATAGGTACTCACATGAAAAACTTGCTATCAAGTACAAAACTAGAGTGTGCCTTTTGTTGACATCCATTTTGCAGCACCCTCTGAAACACAGAAAATACACACAACTAAATTATAACTGAAAATCAGTTGACCTCAAAACAACGAAACGAGTTCTGCGTGCCTATAAATGTTCTATCTCTTTTTGAGACAGGGACTTTTTATGCCCGTGGTGTCTGAGTTGTCGCTGGACGCAACTTCGCTTCCGGTCCTCCAGTACTGCGTGTTGCTTTT